AATTTATCTGCCCAACTCCAGTGTGATCATGCAGGTCCATCCGTCCTAGTCAAAGGACTGTCCTTGCAAAACAGCCTGACTGTGCCTTCCAGGAGCTGCGACCATTGGCTGGGACATCTCATTCGTTAATCAAGGGCTTGTAGCTCCCTGGCATCCTGGGATCTCCTGGGTCCAGTTGAGGGTGCTACTGGGCCCTGTCTTCAGGTTCTGGAAGCTACTAGAAGGGTTCCTCCATCAGGTTTAACTGCTGCTGTTTCTCTAAGGCAGCCCCTGTTCCACTGAGTGGAGACCCCCAGGTAAGCACAGGGAAATGCTGAAACTGGAGAGGACTCCTCACCCTCCCTCCCTCCCATCCCTAGCCAGGCCCTCTGGTTCAGCCCCAGTCCCCTCTGCCCTTGTCTCCTCTATTTCTACTCAAGAGGCTTTATCGCTGCCTTCCGGGAAGCCTTCTCCTCCTCTCTGACTGGAACCTCCTCCCTATGGCTGAGAGAATTCCCGCCCCATTAAGTGGTGAACTTAACCTCCTGAGGTTTCAAGACTGGGACCAGGACTCACAGCTGAAAGTCACCTACCTCAAAAAATGTTTGCAGACCTGTTTCTGCCCACTCTGTGAAAAATGAAGTGGTCACCTGAGCCCAGCTGTACCCTAAATTATATGGTATACAAAATTCTTTTATTACTTTGAAATTTTGAAATATGGAGAGAATAAATTAGCACTCTATCTGCCAATCATAGGTAATAAATGTATTATTTTACCAAAAGTGTCTCAGATCTCTTTGTTTTTTGTTTTCCCTCAGATCTTTTAAATCCAAACACAGTGGTGCTGTCTTCCCTGACTATTGGGTTCAGAGCAAGGAGTGTCTCAGTTGCGGAAGGAAAACTCTACAGAGGAAAACAACAGTGCAAGGTCTTCTCCAGTAGAAGGAATGGAAGAGTTAGACCCCTATTCCCCAAGGCCTAAGGAAAGCATCCTTGCAAAGATTATCAATCAGGTTTAAAAGCATTAGGCGGATGACAGATGTGGGTATAGTGTCACAGTGACACCACATTGTGACTTTCTGTGTTTCTCCTGCTCCCCGAGGACCTGCCTGCCAGGGCATAACTAGGCCTGGACTGGTCAGTTAGGGGGCCAGGAGCTGGGACTGGGGGCTCCCTCCTGGTCTCCAGCTCACTTGCTGGGGTGCCAACTGGGCAAACGAGCATCCTGCTACCAGTGCAACCCCAGTATTCGAGTTTGCAGACACAGAGGCCTCCTGCTGCTCACAGCTGTCCCAGCCCCAGAAGACCCTGCCTTCTCCAGGTAACAGCCTCCTGAGACAGCTAGGGTAGCAGGTCCCACATGTCTGGCCAGTCCTGGGTGCCCCACGCCTACCTGCTCTGCCCCCTACGTGGGGCAATGGAAGCAGGACCCAGGAAGATTTTGTCCCCACTTCTGACACCTCCTAGCTGGCCACCAGGTGAGAGCTGGGGCTAGCTGGGTCTGAACAATGCAAATAAAATAGTAGGAATTAGCCCTGGGGCCCTTGGATGGCAAAGATGAGACCCTCGGCTCCCTGATTCCAGGAGGAGGAAGCCTCAGGAAAGCCTGAGCCAGGATGGAAGAGGAGAAATGGTTTTGGGAGTACACACGTGACTGATGCCTGCCACCCCCTCAGTCTGAGACCTTGAGCAAGATCTCTCTGAGTCTCCCCTTGTTCCCCCTAAAAAAGGATCAGAGTGTCCATTGTTGGGAAGAGTAAACAAAATCATTTATGAAACGTGCAGAACCAGGCCTAGTGTATCAAATGCTTAAAAATGGTACCTCCCCTGGGGCCAGGGTAGGTGGTGTTGCCTGGAGGCTATGAGACAAAACAGGTTCACATCCTTACTTTATGCCTTTGGACTTGGCTTTCTGAGCCTCAGTTTCCCTCCTATTGAGTCCTGATTTTCTGACCCCTTCCCCACCAGCTTCTTCCCCATACATCCTGTCTCAGTAAAAAGTAGCAAAATCTATTCTGTTCTTGGACCAGAAACCTTGGAGTCCCCCAGGACTTTTCTGTTTCTCTCCCACCCCATCAAGAGAATCCTTACCCAGGAAGGGGTCCCCACCCTATGTAGCACTTTCCTGGAAATTCTCTAAGCCAGGGCTGCGGGCTCTCTGGGCATGGACCTCGACTTTAGATCAGGACCTAAGTGAGTCTCATCCTGTTTCTTGCCCAATTAAGGGGCTCTGCCTTTACCTCCACCACCAACCCTGGTGCATGGGGTCGGCTGGAAGCCCAGAGGCACTCTAGGACTCTTGCCTTAATAGGGTCATCCTGGGGTCCCATGGTGAGTAGATTGGCAAGCTGATGGCTCCCACGGGCTGGCTGCCAGAAGAGCGCTGGCATACTGATTTGGGATGCCTTTCACTCGCTCAGCTGGACACAGGACAAGTTCAGGGTTCTGGATCATCACCTGTCTGCCACCATCCCTTAGGCTGGAGCCTAGGAGGTGGGTCTGTACATCAATTATCATCTCTCTGCTGCTTCCAGCCCATAGCACCCAAAGGCACGGTGGGAGTAGCACAGGTGCCTTTATCCATGCACCCCATTCAGGCCACCAGCAGCCAGGGTGCTCTCCCAACCCGCTCCCCACATTCTAGGCCAAGGGCCAAGTAGACTTTGCCTCTCTTCTCCAAGGGCTAATTTTTTAAAACCCTGTAAAGGAGGATTCGCTTGTTATTACTTAAGCCAGGAAGAGACAGAAAAATACCATATGATACCACTTATACATAGAATCATGTATATAAAAAAAAGAACTTATTTAGAAAACAGAGCCAGTCTCAGAGACATAGAAAACAAGCTTATGGTTACCAGCGTTGGGGATGGGTGGGACAGCGGGTGTGGAGGGATAAATTGGGAGTTTTGGATTTGCAGATACTAACTCCCATACATAAAACTGATAAACAAGGTCCTACTGTATAGCACAAGGAACTATATTCAATATCTTGCAGTAATCTGTAATGAGAAAGAATATGGAAAGGAATATATATATGTATAATTGATTGGCTATGCTATTCACAAGAAATTAACACAACATTGTAAATCAATTATACTTCAACAAAAACTAAAAGAAAAAATCCTGCTAATGCTTTCCTGCATTCTCTGTTAAAAATTGCATATGCGGTCATCATTAACAAAGCCCAGTCCACCCTTTGAGAGAATCACCGGAAGCTGGTGGTCACAGGGGCACAATGGATGAGTCAGAGACATGAGAGATGATGTCAGCAGAGCTAAATGAATGACCTTTGAAATTTGAAAATTGTCAACTGACTTTAGATCACCTCTCTTCCCCATACTTCAGTTCTTCCAAGGTGGTGGTAGCTGGGGCACATACCTCTCTGATTTTTGGCTTAAATGCTAATCATTTCTAAATAAGGACTTCAGAGAAGGGGAGAGGAGGTAAACTCACCTGCTGAGACAACTCTCTAATGGGCCTCAGGACTCAAACCAGCAGAGGCAATAACAGTGAGTAAAAACAGCATCCCTGCCTTTTTTGCTTGATGAGGGCTATTAAATTAGCCATTAATGACAACCTCTCACAACAAAAAACGTGAAGAAATGGTACCTGGACATCAAAGGATCTCACCTCCCAGGATTGAAAGATAAGCAAATACTGAAGTACCTCTTCTGAGCCATCATTCTAAATCTTCATTCTATAACTCACTTGTGTCCATGAATTTTGTAACACATTTTTCAATCAAATCATCTCCATAGACAGGGACTCCACAGGGAAAAAATTTGCCTGAGAGCCCACACATCCTCAGTGGGGCTCTGCAGCCCACACTCAATTCTCCACCGATCCTGTCAGCTCCACTTACCGATCTATCCAGAACCCGTCCACTTGTCCCTTCTCCAATGGCCCTGCCCTTGTCCAGACCCCTCCTCCCTGACACCCGTATCATCCAGCATTCTTCTTCCTCTGCTCCCTTCCTCCTCCTGCCCCCAGGTCTTCCCACAAGAAGCAGAGGGCACCTGTGAGCACCCTCCCCTGCTCTGAGTACTCTCCTGACTCCCTCTTTCCAAAGGGCAAAGGACAAAGCCTTTATATAAGGATTCAGTAAGGGGAAATATTAAGGCTCCCACAGGCTGTCCCCATCAGCTCTCTGAGTGCATTTCCTACCACTCTCCTGTTTGATCCCTATGCTTCGGCCACATTGGACTTCTTGCTCCTTTCTCCTGCCACAGGGCCTTTGCACTTGCTGTGCCCCCTT